CGCCAAGACTTGTCAACATCGGATTGAATCTCAGATCGGAAGACCTGAATCTATACTGACCTCTAGGACTCAGTAAGCCCAAAACTCGAAACTGCACAGCCCATGAATCCTCAAGCCCTCAACCTTCCACCTCGAAACTCCAAACCAGTCCAACAAGCAAATCTCAGACTTACGGGTGCCTTCGGCCCTTCTTCGGGCATTCCGGTCTCATCCGCCACGGCATCCGACACAGCCTCCTCAGAAAGCATGTAATTCTTGCCGAGCACTCAACCCTAAGACCTCGATGATCAATCCTCAACCAGCCGTTATCGCTTTCTTTGCGGCTCCTAGTGGAAGTTGTCATACAATTCGGGCGGCCAGATACTCGAACCCTTTCCTGAGTCCTGGGTAATCGTCCAGTGGGGACGTTTAAATCCCTGGCCTAGCCTCCGCCAAAGCCTAGAGCAGCTGCGAGTCGTTCCGACCAGTCCAAAGCCCCTCTCCCACAAAATCTAAAACACCCACTCCAACCCTGGCCCAATCCAACAAACTGCGAGGCCTGCCTCCGGCACAGGAACGCGTTCATCACCCTCCTGATCAACCCAAAAAGGGATCAAGTCGATATAGGTCTTGAGCTCTGTAGGTTGAGAGGGACTTCTCACAATATCCGGAATCTAGTCGCAGTTCTACCTTCAACTTTAAGATCTGTTTAGGGATGTTTAGGGATTCAGCGTGGCTCGTCATGACCGCTCGGCAAGTCTTTCAATCAAGCCAACAGCACTCATCTGACCTTCTTGACCGCCAGAAGCAGCGCAGCTGCCGAGGCGAAAATCACCGGCAGAATGGTGCGCGAGAAGAGCGTCCTTCGGACTTCCCCAAACCTAAGACTTCCTTGAAGCCCAAAACTGAAACCCTCAAAGTAGAAACTTCCCCGAACACTACACTGCATCGTAGTTCATGGAAGTTTGGACTGAAACCTGCAGACTCCCCCCATGCTTCGCTCAGGTCCAGCCCCTGGCAGCCGAGATTCACAACCTTGAGAATTGATGCACCCTTGCAGCCTGAATCCCCAGCCAACCAAACGCTCCGAACTCCCGAAAGCAACTTTAATTCTTCCAGCGAAAACGCAAAACCCAAAAAACCTGCAGGCCGGCCTTTTTATACGTTAACTCATCTTACATCCTAAAGCCTCATAGCCTTGCTACCCTAACAACCCTAAACCCTTGCGGCCCTCAAACCTAAATAAACCCTGCAGTCCTACCACTGAACGCTAAGCCCCTGCAATCGCCTGCAGCCGTAAAAATCCTAAGACTGAGCAGTTCGTCTCTTTCCTCGAGTCGTTGTCCCATTCCCCGCAGCCGCACTGTACCTTAGGCAGCTTGCGGCATTTGCTGGCACAAATATATATATATATATATATATGTATATGTGTATAGATAGATAGATAGATAGATAGATAGGTAGATAGATAGATAGATCAAAAACTACATGCACTATGACAGAATAACGTATCATATCATATCATACCATACCATATCATGTCTATCATATTCTATCATACACTGTGATGATATGTATGTTTTTATATATGCAGATTCTACTTTGACATGTTCACATGTATATGCATATCTATATGTAGATCTCTATATATATATATATATGACGGTAGGATATAGAACTTTACATGTACTTAAACCCCGCTCCCCTGAGGGAGGGGGGGGGCTTGCTGTCTTTCACTCCTCCCTTGTGTATTTATGTTATTCCTTTGACTCTTTATTTCCTTCGATCTTCATGTTCTTCCTTTCTTGCTTTCGGTCTGTTTTCTTCGTAATTTCTTTCCTTTCCTTCTTTCTTGTTCACTCTTTCTTTTTATCTCTTTCTCTCGTCCTTCCTTTCTTGCTTACTTCCTTCTCCACACGCTTTGCCCCCCGCGCGCACGTCCCAAGATCCGGTCTGACATGCCCAGCCTGTGGTTTTCACGGAGGGCCATTCTTGCTTTTCCTTTTTTCTTTCTCTCTTTCTCTCTTTCATTCGTTTTTTCGTTCTTTCTTTTTTCTTTTTTGGGGCATGGGGCCGAAGCCCAGGACGCCATCGCCCGCCCCTGTATTGGAGCCACTCCAGTGGACACAAGTTCGGGCTTGTCTATCATCAACAGCATCTACACGGCTCCTATGCTATTTCGACACACTCTCTCTCTCTCTCTCTCGGTTGCTTGCTTGCAGCGCGTATGGTCTCTCGGAGGAGACCGCCCCGGTGGGCACGCTCCACAGAGTTAGTCGGTGTGAGACGGGGTGCACGGCAGGGTGTGACAACTCTCTCTCTCTCTCTCTCTCTCTCTCTGTTTCTCTCATTCATTCATTCGTTGGTTCGTTCTTTCTTTCTTTCTTCCTTTCTTTCGTGTCTGTTCCTCTGTTCCTCTGTTCCGGTCCTTCTGTCGTTCCTTCTTTCCTTGCTCTTCTTCCTCGATCCTCCCCAGCCCTAGGCCCCTGTCTCTTCGAGAAAGTAGAGGCTTCCCGCGTAAAAAACTTAGAGAAAATAGCCCCCCCCCCCCCCCCCCCCCCCTCCCCAAAAAAAAAAAAAAAACATCGCGAAAAAGTACGTACCCCGCTCTAAACCCTTAAACCCCAAGCCCAAACCCCACCCACTAACCCCACCACTACTTGCGGGCCTGGGAAGAAGTGGGGCGGGGGGTGGGGGGTGGGGGATAGGGGGAGGGCGAAAACGCTTAGCTGCTGTTGGCGTTGGAGGTGTTCGGTTCTAGGGCTTTAGGCTTTGGGGAGATTAGGTAATTCAATAAAATATTCGTAAGTAAGGTGGCCCACTGTTCGAATACCCGTGCAAAATGTGCTTCAAGGTATCTTCATAAATTGCAAGTTTACTCGAAGAAGATGATTGTCCAAACCAATTAAACAGGTCAAAACTAAAATTCCAGATCACGAAAATTCGAATAGACTGGAATATTCACAACAACTCCTACAAATTCTGTCATCTGTGAGGCTTGGAATCCACAGGGCCATAGTTAAGGAATGCTAAGGAGCGGTTCATTTTGGAAATTCGAGCTGGCGCCAAAAGCTCTTCAAGCGTCAGGTCACCAAAACTCCAGCAGGCTCGAAACCTACACTAAAAACAGGAATAGTAGGACAAACCTAGAAGAACCAAATTCTCCGATCACACCCCAAATCTTCACAGCCCCAAACCCTCCAAACCCAGGCATGCCCCAATGCCTGGTTCCAAAGGCAATTCCCTGAACCCCTAACTCCCAAAGCCTTGTATCCCAAACCCTTAGTATCCTGCCACGCCACAAATTCTTAAGTGAACCGTTGCCCCATGTAGCCGAAAGCCCGCGCCGGAAACTTTCGGGTCTGTAGGTTTCGGCTGGGAAGAATTAAACCCCAAGAAGACCCAATTTGGCAAACCGTCCAAGGAACTGTCTCTGTTCGGTAGAGCCAGTTCAACCCTGGTGGCTTCTCCTAACGGCTTGGTTCACGAGTGTGTGTTTGATTTATTCGGTGCTGGGCATTGGAATTGGGTCTTGGGCTTGGTGCAAATGGGAGGCGCGGTTTGGGTTTGAGGGCGTAACAGAAAGGGCTTTACTAAGTTTTTCCAGGCAGCTGGACATTCGCCCGGGGTCCCTTGAAAGTCTTCTGATGTTCTCGCGTAATGTAATGACCACTTCCCACGGCCAACTGCCCCCGTGCGTGATTGTACGTGGACGAGCTACCCCCTGAAGGAACCCCTGCCTCGACCTTCGAGGATGACTCGGCAAGGGGTTTTGCAGGTTGAGGGTCCCCTTCCGGAGGGTCACAAAACAAACCTTGATGTCCCTGAGTTCCTGCAAAGTGCAGGACAAGTTTTTGGGATGTCGCTGGCTAAGGGTTGGTGTTTGGGCCCGGGCACCTGCAAATCCATGCCCCCCAGGGGTTCTTAACTGGAAGCTTATAATGGGGCCGCGACCGAGGCGGGCCACTTAGCGAGAAAAATGGCAGATCCCTTTCCAGTTTCCGCTTCATGCGCCTCACTTTACACGGAGTCAGTTCAAGCTTTGGGGTTGCGGGTCAAAACGTCGTCAACTGTCCTACCCACGTTGACACACGCCGACCACCCAATTGCGAAGCCATTATAGGGTTTCGGGTTGCTTGGGGCTGCAAAGCCCTACTCCAAAACTGACAACAGTCCTTAAAGTGCTATGTCCGCGCCTCAGACATCCTCAATCTACGTCGGTGTGTGCAAGCTCGAGGCAATGCTGGAAGGGCTTCAAAACTCCACATTCCCAGAATTGCGATTGTGGTCCGTTGTCAACAGCACCCCTCAGAGTCCTCGCACATCGCGAGAAATGGCGCAGCTAGTAGCGCGAGTAACGGGTGTTTCCGCGGGTTCAGTTTGGGTTGTGGTGGTCTGGCTAATGGTGGGAGTTGTTGAAGGGCTCGAGGTGTTGTGATAGCCCTCCTGAGTCTTTGAGCCAAGCATTACAACGGTATGGGTTTGGGTTTGGGTTCGGGTTCTGGATTTTCGGCGGAATTAGGATAGCTTTACAGCAGAACCTATGACACTCTGCAGACTCTGCATGGTTAGGGTTTACAGGATTTACATAGGGTGCAGAGACTGGGGCTGAGTAAAGCCCTCAAAAAGGATTCAACCGCACCTACACTTTGTTGACCTGACTTGTGTGTGCACCCAGAAAGTGATGTTCCCAGTCAAGCTTCGGGCATGTTCAGGTTCAGGTGGCCACGTGGAGAGGGATCACAATAGGATTTTGATGGCAAGCTTTAAGAGGGCGACTTTGTTGTGGCAGTTGTTGTGGCAGTCGTTGTGGCAATTCGAGCGGATGGCCGCTTTGCTGGAAGGGCCTCAAGGGGCAGGACAGAGCAACCGTGTCATTGCCTTTGGTGGGCGACTTCCTTTGTGCTTACTTCGTGATCGCAACTGTGTACAAAGAAAGCTTGAACCATGAACCCAACCCCTCAGATCCAAACCCTCTGAGCCCTCAGACCCTGTAAGTGGGTACACTTTTTCGATGCCCGTCAAAGCTCGGTATTCGTGTCTCCAGCCACTTTGGACGCTGGAGCTCGTTCTCGGAAGGGTGACGCTCCGATCAGCGACTGTAGCCGGCCTCAGCCAAGGCTTTGGAAGTTTTGTTCTGTTGGTCATTTACGATGTGCATTTATAGATTTTATAGGGCATCTGGAATGTCCAGGGCCCAGGGGTGTGATGTTTGGGTTAAATTAGGTCTTGTACGGACTCTTGGGCTGTAGGGCATGCATCCCCCAATCTCGTAGCTTCCACCGGGAAGCGGAATGGCTCTGATCAAGCTTCCGAGCGCCGGTCTCCGAAGAAGATCAGATGAATAAGCATGCTGAAATGCCTGCCTCTAGCACGATCCACCCTCGATCACAAACAATCAGTTAGTGAGCTGCCACGGGTCAAATAATACTGCCCGTCTCACACGATGTCATCTCCATCAGCATTTGGCGCTCTTTCGAACCTTACATGCAAAGACTTGCAGTACGTCAATCAAGCCTTCTGCGGTGTCTGAACCAGAGCGTCACACGGGCTTGACACGGGCTTGGACTTCGCGGAAAACCTATCGAAGCAGATGCCAGATGGTGGACAAGTCTAGTCTTGGAACGGTTCGCATTTATCGGGCGAAAAAAAGACTCAAGAACACTGCCCTCGTATATACTGGCATGAACTACAAGAACAATCAGAGTCCGATGCGCATCAAAGTATATCAAAGTGCGACCAGGCCCATGCATGCTACGAGAATTGCAAGTGCATGCTTCGTAGTGCAGGATTTGGGCGGGCCACAAGGGATCGGAGACTCGGAGACCACAGTAATTACAGGACCGAAAATTCCGGTAATCGGCTCCGGAGACCCCAAAAAGCATCCTCTGAACTTGAGAGATTCTGAGATACTTTGAAAAATTGGGGAAACAAATGTGTTCGGGCTTTCAGGTGTTAGGACTGTTGTGGACCCCTTCTCCAGCACAAAGAACGAAGCTTGATGCCACGAACCGGCAAGAAGTCGAAGAACTCACTCTCGCTGGTCATGAGAAATGTAGCCTGAGTTTGCAATCAGACAACACCCTGAACATGCCTGATCGCTGCACTGAAAAAAACCCTCTGCCAAGTCAGCCTGCTTGCTATTCGCGTTGTGTTCCAGCCCTTGGACACCGCCACAGAGTTCACGGTCTGGATGGAGTCGACTGCGTGTATGCCTGAGAACAAGAATGGGTTGGGCAGAGTCTGAACAATGAATCCTCTCACAAGCTATGCCAATTTCACAGGGTCAGGAATTCTGATTTGCAGGGTTCGGTCTTGTGGCCCGGCTAGTGAGGTATTCCGTATTTGTACGGTCCAGTTTGGCGTGAAGCTATTTGGAAATTAATTTGCAGGGTCCTGTTTTGAGTCAAAAGCCCCCGACCATAGTACCACGATCATGCAAATCACAGGCACGGTGTTGTGCAAATGTTGGGTCGTCACCAACGCTCATTCTTTTACGATAACATCTTCCCAGCCTGTGTTGAATGACAAGTTCATTGTCATGATAGTTTTGAAGTCTAGACAAGGTATATCATATGGTTCTCCGGTCATCTCATACTTTCCGCAAACAGATCAATCCGCCTGGATAACAGGTGAACACGGTAACACGGTTGGGCGCAGCCCCGCTTGATGAGACACTAGTCACTCGTCAAAAATGAAAGCGGGAGGCCAGCCGAAGATCGGAGCACTTGGAAAACCGCCAGCTACAAAAGTGGTGGGGGCTGTGGGGGCGCCGCAGCAAACGTAATGATATTGATCGCATGACAAGCATTTGACCGCTCATGATCGGATGGCACGCTGCTCGAACGAAATTCTGAAGCGCTCCCAAGGAATAAACGTTAGGGCTGGAGGACCCGAACAGAGGAGCTGGGGACTTGAGGAGTACCGAAGCATCAAGGGAGGAGAACTGAGGACCAGGTACCAGAAAACACAGGACCAGGGGACTAGCGGAAGGAGAGGACCAGAGGGCTGTAGAGCCAAGGCACCGTTTGTCAAACCGTACGCCAACCAGATGTGGCCAAACATGGCCAAACCTTCTTTAAAACAACCTGGCCCGGCTGGAAGCCTGAAACCAAAAACTTAAGATAATCGCAGGCCAGGGCGGCCATGACGGTTAGCAACGGCGAAGGACTCTCGGGTCAAGCTAGCAGAGCAGTACGCGAACTTCCAGGCCCAAGACGTGCTTGCAAAAGCTGTAATATGAAACTGTTTCATTACACTACTAAAATACCAATATGAATGGTCTTGGTTCTCCCTCGTCATTTGCATATGCTGGTACTTGCTCAGGTTGTGATGCGTGTAGCTCGCGGGTACCAAAACAAATGCTCCCTGCTGTCGAAGATCCTAAGCGCTCACACACCTTGGTGATGTCGCTGCCATCGGCGCGCACGACCGTGTTGAACCTGACGAGCAGGTCTCACTTCACTTTCATTTTAGTTCTGATTTGGGGCTCCAAGTCTGCAAGCCCCCCGAAGCAGCAGATGCGACTGAGAAGGGGAGGTTATTGACCGCACAGCTGCAAGATTGACAGAATTAGCTCTCTCAGTTGCTGGTTTCCGAGGTTTCCAGCATATCCTCACTCTCAAGCATCACATTCATCACATGGCTCTGATATGGTCTGAGAACCTTGCTTCTCTAACAAAGAGCGAGTCTCCGATCTCGCTGCCCAAATTGGCAAATGAAGCATGTCTTTTGACACTGTGCCCTTGCAGGCAGGCCACGCCACACATGCCCTGTAGTATTGCATCCAGAAGTGCTCTCCGCAAGGGTGCAGATAGAAGTTGGTATAGCCAACCTCACAACATAGATGTCCACAAGAGGTCAGGTGAAGCGGGGCGCTTTCAAGACCCTAGGAGGCTTCGCAAGTGAAGCTTTGAGACTCTTTGTGCCTGGGGACAAAGAAGTTGACAACTGCAACGGCTCGGTGCAAAATCCAATGTGCAATCTCGTGAAAAGGCGACTCGCTTCGCCAGTGGCACTCCGCCATGTGCCCATTCAGGGGCTCGATGCCGTCTGCCTTCAACTTTGTGAGATAAACGTCGTACTCGTCCCTCAGCGAACGGAAGCCCCCCCCTAAGTCTCCGCCCTTCCATGTCTTGACACTGCAAGAGGGTGACTCAGGCTGTGGTATGCTGTGGTTGCCCTGCAGCAAGAAAAACACCAAAACAAGGTCAACTGCACAGCTCCCGCTCCCAAGGCTCGCAAGACTCCCAAGCCCAAGCCCTGTGCTGTGTCATCCTGCCGGTTTGAACCGCTTCGTCGCGCCACTTCTCGATGATTTCATCCTGTGCATGTGATTTCACGGAAAGTTGACCCCAAGAAAATTCCAAGCATTCAGACCTGAGTCAAAGCTCATGCGGTTTTATGCGCAAAGACAGGGCAAAAAGAAAGTGGCCTACGGGATGTGACAGTCCTTCGGCTTTGCGGCCAAGAAATAATTTTCGAAGAGGGCTGCCTGGTCCGCTACGAAGTTCGGAGCTTGGGGTGTAGGGTTTGCATTCTATTATAAAGCTTCTTACCAACATTTCGCCGCTTGCCATGACCCCTGTTGTACTGTTTTGAAGCCGGACATTGCAAGAATTCAGAACAACAGTTTTCCACCTCCAAGTGCATTCCGCTGATGCGCGCAGTGTGATTGACCAGCAAATCCAGCGGGGCAGTCCTCAACCCAAGCAAGCTGCACGAGTCTGGAGTTGCTAGGCGCTTGCTTCCAGCCTTTGCCTTCCACTTCTGCTCCTTGCAGTTTTTCCACTTTAAGCAACCATCTCAAACCACAGCACTTCCGAGGACGACGCCCTAAATCGCCCTAAGATGCGAACGCTTACTTTCGGAGCCGGAAATCAGCAGAAAGGTCGCATCGATCCAGACACCACCGAAGGCTGCAAGCAAGCTCACTCCTCAGCTGAGGTCTGGGCACACCATGGCACACCTTCTGCACTAAACCCTCACGTCGAAACCCTGATCACTGAACCCGTTCCGAGATTTTCAAGAAAAGCTGCGCCAAATCAACTCCAAGGACTCAGCCAATCAGCAAAAAGGTGCATCATGTGAAAGGAGTTTGGAGCAACGTCTGGCTCACCAGGGGCCAAGTACTCCTGGATACAGGGTTCTGAAGTTCTGAAACTATGGTTTGGGTCTTGGGCAGGGACAAATGCTCGTTCCCTTTCCGTCTTTGGGCTGTGCAGGTCAGGGTCGAGCATCGGCAGGAAACCTGTGTTATGCCCAGAGCTATCGTTTCATGTTGTTTCCGTGTCTGGCTACAGTGCCGCGATTGGAAGCATTGGAAGCATTGGAAGCCTGACGAGAGGTCCTTGAAGTTGTTGCCGTTCAGGAGACGCAGCTCGTAGTCGGGAGCCTGGGTCGGGGCTTTGCTGCCCCAGTCTGCAGTGAGCCCCGAGCAAAAATCGACAGATCTTAGTGTTCACGGCTTTTTACTGCATAAGACAGAAGTTGTTTCTCCCCCCCGGTCCGTTTGGGTCGAGTCACGAAGTGCTTCCAGCTGGCATGTGCCAGCTGGACAGGCGCCGGAACCTCGGACATGAGAGCACTGCAAGCACTCAGCCTGAGTTGTTCACGAAGCCAATCGTTGATGATCTTTTAATGGCCAGGGACCGAATGCTCATCATGCCAGAAAGACCAGATCCTTTGCTGGCGAACGAAAGTGGGATTCAACAAAGCGCAGGACATCGACTTTTCCTGAGCTTTGTGCAGTCTTAATTCCACAGCGGCATGGTGACTGTCTCGCTGCGGATGGCAGAACAACTACATGAACAGGATAAGAAACACTCTTGGAAACTCCTCGATGTTGTGGGGTCGGTCGCTTATGACCTCGGCACGATTCGTGCACCGAACGCGTGGCTTGGTCTATCACTTCTGAACCAGCTCAGAGGAAGAAACGCCGTGGGCAATTCGTCGACATCAGTCTGCAATTCTTCATGGTGCAAGCGCACGAAAATTTGTGCCAAGGAAAATGTGCAGACTATAGTGACTCCAGTGACCAGTGACGTGAACTTGCTTGGCGGTCCCATGCTTCCGTCCGTTGCAACCGAGCAGCCGAACTTGCCAAAGCGACCTCTGCAGCAAGGCAAGTGCGCCATGGTCTGGACATTGGCCACGCAGCCGTGATTCAGGAGTGTTCGTAGACTTGCAGGATGTTATTCAGTTATCCAACAGAAATTCTTACAAGAATTCCTGCTTGAGCAGCAACTCATCGCTGCTGGTTTGCAGAAAGGGGTGACATGTGTGTCATGTGTGGACTGTTTGCAGACTGCTGAAACTCTCCAGCTCACAGACGCTTTTGAGTTTACAGCGGGCATGGCTGGCTGCCATGTTCTGTTTGAAAGAGCCACTGAATACACAACCAACGCAAAATCTGATAGGCACCGCGCACCGCAGCCCACATGCCAACATGAGTGTCGCAGAGACACGACAGAATCCGGGACGCTGCAAAGGGCCGCATATTAAATGGAGAATTTACCTTTGAGTAGTCATCTTGCAAACTCTTGCTAATAAAACCCCGTTGCTTTAGTGAAGCAACCCGAAACAGCGCAGAATAGCGCATTGCCAAGCGATGCGATGGGGTCGCGATTCATCAATCTCCACATCCTCAAAAGAGAATTGCTGTTTTTCTAAAGTATACAAGTTGGCACTTCCATGGAACCCCCCCCAATGGACTACAATGAGAGAAAAGCAAACAAAGGAGAAACCATATTGTTCACTGCACAGTCGCTCTCGACATTCATCAACAGTGTTTCACGCGAAGATGAAACAAACTTCCTCAAAATACGGGTACACGCTCACGACAAATAGCCTAGCCCAGACGTCAAAATACTAAAACTCTGATAGGCGTTGCAAAGCTATCAGCTATCTGCACAACCAAACCGAGAAAACCGATTAACTTTCCAAACTTACACCCTGGCCCCTGGCAATTCCGAATTCCAGCTTCCCTTTCTCAATGCCGAAATCAGACCAGCACTGTCACAAATCGTAGAATGCATGCCCTAATCCTAGCCTTATACCAGTCGACAAGATGTAGTGATACAAGTCAATTCATCTATGGCACGCATTGACACGCAATGCGAAGCAAGGATGTTGAACACATGAGGGAGTAGTATGACACCCTTTGAGCTAATTCCAGCCTCCCTAATGCCGTGCCCCAAGCTTTCGCACACCACAGGTGCAGCTTAAAAGTAACATGACATACTGCATCCCCTGAACTTCCCGAACCCGAACATTTCGCTAAAGCACAAGAACATTCAACACAAGCCTGAGCACTTTTGTGTTTCTATACTCAGGGATGCATTACTTAATGCGTGTTTGGGGAAGCAGGATAGAGCATTACATGCTTGGGGGGGGCAGTAGATTCAATGCCAGTTGGTTGGAGCACTCCGATGGTGGAGTGCTTCCGAAGCCGAAGCCCTGCACGCTGAGCGTAGGGTTCAGGGACGTTCAGGGCTTCGAAAAGTTTAGGGCCAGTTTAGGGCCTTTGTCCTGGATCTTGCTGTACGATCACTTACGGCCGCTCAAGTGATGGATTTTGCGAGTACCGCGACAATCAGGACCATCATAGACATGAAGCTGCATGAAGCTGCTGAGATCTGCGGCATTCTAAGAGGCTACAAGAAGGGTTTTGCCGAACAAGCTCTGAATCCCGCACTACCCCCTCAACAGCTGAAAACAAACCCCAAATGGGAAAACACTCTGGAGTTCAAAGCTTTTTCAATTCACGCGCCAAATGACGGGCGGGGTTAAGGGCTCTTTCTTGGTTATAGCCACCCTCAGGTGTAGAGGATCTGTACGGTGAAGCCCTCAACCCATTTGAAAGAGCAGGTCTGGCTGCTGTCAGGCAGCTCAAAATCCCCACTGATTCATGAAGCTACGCAGTGCCCTCAACAGCTGCCGAATGCTCCGGGCATATGTGCTTCGAAAGTCGAGCTTAGGCTGCAGTCCAGACCGGGTGTGAATTCCAGGACCCAAAGGCTTCCTCAAAGTCGATGACGTAAGCCCAAAACAACACCCTAAAGACCCTACACCCCGCAATGGCACATGGACTGGAACGTGTGACGACTGGAAGGTTGTAATAGGGCTTTTACAGGGTTCAGGAACGAGGATAAAATTTAGTCGTCTAGCTTTCAACATAGGCATGAGGTTTAGGGCTTGACTTCCCTTGTAGAGTACGGCTTTCAGAGCTTTTGTCTGGGGGGCTGAGGATGATTGAGGGGATGAGTGATCAGGACGCTCACGGCTGCTGACGGGAGCACCAAAGACTCACAGCCACTCATGCTGCCTCTTGTCCAAACCTGGCCCGTGAAATCAATGGGAGTTAAGGGCTTTAAGGGTCCATGCACTCAACAGCCATATCACGAGGAGACACCGCAACACACATACACTAGGCTTTCGGAGAAAGCCCAGATTACAGTCACTGCTTCTTTTGAACAGAGGCCACCGTTTGCAGCGCAACATAGCGCAACTGCGTCCACAGCCTACCTATACACCTAAAGGCTTTCAACTACCAGGAACTCATATTTGAATGCCGGCAACGGTTGACATTGGAGGTGTGATTGACCTTCTCAGACTGTACTTTCAACTTTAGACTCAGACCCCTTCTATGTCCCAAGCTTGTGAAGCAAACACCCTAAGCTTCAAACTCCGACGTTAGCTCCGGAACCATGCGGACCCCACGGCAGGTCAAGCCCCTGGTCAACGTTCCGACTGGCTTCTAGGGCCCGAAAGCCACAACAAGCGAATCGACAAAGGGCTTCGTGTTTCAGAGATTCCTCATAAGACGAGAGAGCTTTGGAGTTTTTCATAAATTCATTGTCAAGCTATTCATTTCAAGCTGAGCAAAAGATCGCGTGGTCTGAGCTTCGCAAGGAGTCGCCGTGACCCTCCCTAAGCCCTATTGCAGTTCAGAGAAATATCCATCGGCATGAAAAATCCCGCAACACCGGAGCCAAAGCCACCAAAGAGCCCTCTTTCCGACAGGCTTAAAACAATGCAACGTTTATGCAAGTGTATGGCTTGGGGATGCTTTTAGGGTGGTCTACTAAGTGTGGAGCTTGTGAAGGGGATGGGAGGTTTAGCGTTCTAGGGATCGGCTTCCAGGCTCAGGGCTGGCTACGCTGCCCAAACCCCTGAGGGGCCACCTCCGAGAAAATCAGATTCAACACGCGCCTCAACGCTAAAGCGTTCATGTTTGGATCCTTTGCTGAGCCCCGCGCTGCGGAACACATCGGCCTCGACAGGACGGTCGAAGAACTCGCGCAGTTGTACCTGCTTGGAGGTTCAAGAGGCTTGGGGTAGAGTTTTGGGTTTTAGACTGATTGGGGTTTGGGGTCTTGGGTTTGGGGTCAAGGTTTCTCGTGTGAGGAGTTTGATCAAGCTTTAATAGTTCAGGATTTGAAGTTTGGTTCGGGTTAGGGGTGGGTTTCGGGTCCAGGATGCACCTCGGGGCCAGAAAGGACAGCGCGCCGAGATGGGAGCGCGATTTCAACAACTCAACTTAAGAGTCCTTACCCTGAACGTGGGAACCCATATTGCTAACACTGCTTGGGGAATTAGTTGATTCTATTGATTAAGTTCCTTTTCGCAAGACAGTAAGCAAGATTCACAAGAGGCTGACAGACTTAAATGGATTGACTGCATTCCTGGGATGTGTTTCTGAGAAGAAGTTTGTATCCAGAAGTCAATGAACGAGCTTGAAAGAATGTTCACCCGTCCCAGTTCCCCCCATCGAACACTCTAACTGAACTCCTATTCTGGAGTCCTAACTGTATTCCAGAACCAACTACACTTTAGACTTATACCCAGCCCTTAATTAAGATCCCTCAGGCCCGGAACTCAATCATATACCACCCCTCAATCGAGAATGCCCGTTTTTGAGTTTTTTTTAGAGAGGTCACCTTCCGATCAATGCTTAGGCTTTGAGCGTTTGCTGAATGCAGGGTTTTGAGGCCTAAACGAGAGACTGCAGGGGCTGGAGCCCTAACAAGAGACTGCAAGGCCTTGAGGCCTAACTCACCGTAGAGGCTGCAGAGGCTGAACCTTAAACTAGAGACTGCGGGTTGAGGACTGAATAGGAGACTGCAGGAGATGGAGCCCTATTTGAAACTAGAGACTGCAGAAGGGCTTGAGATAGCATACAGGGTCCCATTTTAAACCAACAAGGAGAGCCCGACTCTGGGCCTGAAGGGGGGATTGAATCAATGGACCCGGGGCAGAGGGCTATGACGCGAAGGCCAACATTTCATGTTCATTTGTTCGCGACAGGCCTCGCGACAGAGCGATGATTCGAGGAATTGATCGAAGTAGTTGGAATACTTAAACTCCTGGAACTGTTTCTGAATAATTCGACCTCAAGAATAGAATTCGGCGTGCTGGACAATAACTTGTCAGCTGCACGCAACTACCCTAGATGACTTTCCTTATTCCATTCCTTGTCTGGAATCCGGATTTAATGCCGTCCGGAGTGACTTATACAATGCAATTAACCTCGTTTACTCATCTACTGCTAGCTGTAAACGCATTCTGGAGGGCTACAGCAGCACAGGGGGTTGGTGGCGGTCAACGCACCATGGGCACTTGAGCCTTGGCCGAGATGCTGTAGGTGCGTTAGGGGGGACACGTGTGTTTCAGCTCCTGACAAACTGAGTTCATCCCTTTTGGCACGGAGGTTGCAGCATGAGGCTTCCCTTTACGCAAGTGCTGGAGCATGGCCTCTTACTCTGGGGTTGGTGGGTGATGCAAAGCTTCGATTGACCTCTGAACTTTAAACTGAAACGGAAAGTTCTAAACTTGGGCGCCCTACCCCCCCTAAACCCTACAGCCTGAGCCGTGCACCCTGCACGCATCCTACTGTAAATTCCCAACCCCGCTGTGACATCCGAAAGGGCACGTGCTGATCGTTCTTCTGTATCTCGTCCAGGACCTGTGCAGGGCCAGGGCGTTGAGGGTTCCAGTTTGCTGGGGCTAAGGGTGATTTGGGCTTTACTAAGGAGCTGTCCGAAATCTAGGGCTTCGTGGCAGTGGAATGCAGTGGAGAAGCTCAAACTTCAAAACCTGAAACTCACTAAAGCCCCAAAGTTCTTAAATTTCTTAACGACCCAGAAG